GATTCAACGAAACCTGATATTTCCTCAGTTAGGGTCCCATGGTTGGATATGATAGGTCTGCCAGGGTTCCCTTGTTTGTGGATTTTAGGGAGCATGTAAAAAGTCCCTGGGTTAGGTAGCGGGGGGATCAAGGTCTGTAGTTTTTCTTGTAGTCTTGATGGAAATGATTTGATGGTATTGTTGAGTTTTTTTGGTGAAAAGGGGAGTAGGATCTTCTTGTAGTTCTTTGTAGTAGGTGGTGTCAGAGAGCTGTCGCTTGGCTTCCTTTATGTAATCCTCACGGTTTAGGATGACTGTGGCTCCTCCTTTATCTGCTGGTTTTATTAATATTTGGTGGTTAGATCTTAGAGTTTCATAGCCTTTTTCTCTGGTAGAGAGGTTGTTGTGGTGGCGTGTGTTGCTGATTATTTCATTGTTCATTCTTTCCCTGAAGTAGTCAATGTAGCGGTCAAGGTTAGGGTTTCATCCACTGTGAGGTGTCCAATCTGATGTTTTTTGGGGCTTTTTGGCATTGATCCTTTCCTGAATGTTGTCAGAGGATGAGTTGTTGTTGGGAGTGGGTCACTCAACAGTAAAGCAGTTCTCCCATTTGTTCTGATAGTTGCCATGTCTGTGACAGCTTTATCTGCTGGCTTTCCCTAATGTTTCTCATTGGGTTTCCACCTCTCTTCTGTTAAATCCCAGGGGATGGTTGAGCTAACTGAGTGTTTTTTCTGTGGTGACATACTGATTCCATTTCTTTCAGATGTTGAATGAGGACCTGGAGCAATTTGGAGGGGATGCACTCCTAGCAAGCAAGGAGACTTTCAAGACTGCTGCCAGGCTGCAGAAACATTGGACAGAGCTGGGACAAGCAATGCTCAGTCGCCACAAAGATGTTAATGGGCTGATGCCTCCAGAGTTCACTGTCATGGAAGAAATAAACAGAAGTGCAACTAAGCTCTGCCAGCAATATAATATAAGGATAAATGGGGAGAATGGTAAGACAAAGTCTTCTTCCTCACAAGAGGAAACTACATAGTCAACTCCCATTAGAAAATGAGAGGGAGGAGGAGAAACCTGGGGATAAGTGTAAAAGGATAGCTCTGCATCTCATAGAACTTTAGGACAGGGCCTTTGTGCTGTAGCGCCTGGGTGTCTCTGTGCTCCCTTCAGGAAGCCCAAAATTAGTTCAACTATTGTTGGGCCTTCTCTTTAAAGGGAAATAATAAAATCAGACATATTGGCAGCAACAAAGGCAGCCTTTCAAAACTAAGCCAGAATTATTAGCCAGCTGGAATACAGTATAGTGTGTGGCCAATCTTAAAACACAGGGATTATTGCCAAGTGTACCATATTTTCTTGAAATTCACATTGTCTCTCAATCCCTCTTAGTCCTGTTGCTGGACTGCATCACGCAGTTCCTTTGGAATTTTATTTTGTGCATATGTGCATTTTGAAACACATTGGATCAAGCCTTTCTGAAATGAGGGATATAATTAAAGTTCTTAATTTAAGAATGTTGTAAGAAGCCATTAAGTTCCTTTTTAAAACCAAAGAGCTGATACTATAGTGGCCTTCACTTCAAACACAGGCATGTGTTACTGCTTAAAAAAATTATGTACAAGCCAAATTTGGATGGAGAAGTTTGGTGGAGATGTGTCTGAGAAAAGTAGGGCAAAAACTAGAGGAACTAAGAAAATGCATCAAGGAGGTACCCCACACAACCGGGGGCATTTGTACACGTCACAATTTTTCCTGTTTACCCTGCCGCAATTGCATTTGTGTTTGCACGAGTGGGATTTTCCACTGCTTTAATAGTCTTTTCGACACGTTAAACTAATGCTGCTCAGACATGTTTTATTTAGCGTTGCCACTGCTTACTGCACCTTATCTATGGATTCTTGTTGTGCAAACATAAGCAACTCAGAGACATGTAATTACTTTTATTCACCATCAGGTGGCGCTGTGCTAGTTCTGTAGTTCAGGCCTTTGTCCAGGACTACTAGGAGCATGACTCTGAGGGGAAAAAAGCTAAGTGTGAGAGAGATTTTGGGTTGACTGCTGGCTAGAGAGAGGTGTGAAGCTGCGAGCAGTGAAAATGTCTCCTACTGTTTGATTTTGTGTGTGTGTGTGTGTTTAGGGATCCAGTACTTTATACGCTCTTAGTAAAGTAAACAGGATTGCGTTAACAATATCTGACTCCAACGTCAGCTTCTCTTCCTAATGGAAACGGCCCATAGAACCCCAAGCTTTGGCTAATCACTCGGATCAACTCCCCAGTCTATTATAAAATAACGTATGTGCTGAGAAAGGACAGATCTGTCTTGACATTATTTCAAACCAATGCACAGCTGCTAATTCTTGTGACATTGAACAGCTGTGCTATGCTGGAAAGTCAGTATGTAAGGAAAATCCCACTGACTCTCCTGAACTTTAGTAAGCCTTGAATCCAGTCCTTATTAAGTGATTCATCTTCAAAACCAGACTACCAATTTACAGCATAGTGTATTCATTTCTCTTGTCTTGTTTCTGCAGCTCAACTTGCATGGAGTGCAGGCATACATTTAACACTTTCTCTTTTTCCTCCTGCAGGTGTAACTAGGATTTTGATGGGGTTGGTGAGCAGTTTGGAAGATTGGTTGTTCAAGCAGCTAACCTGCAAGCGGGCATCTGACATACGTGAATCTGATTGGTTGAAATTATATCAAGTAATTCCAGAGTGGCTGTCCCAGGTGGATGCGCTGATGACCGTTATAGGTTCCAGTCAGTCTCATGAGGATGAGAAGAATAAAAAGCCACATGTACCGTAAGACAGGTTCTTGCCAGTGTTGTCCATTCCTCCCTCTGGGGCTATCCTGACATAACTTTCTCTTCTCCTGTTTGTGGTGGAAACTGTCTGGCACAGGGTAATAGGATACAGAACCTTTCACCTCTAGGTCATCACTTGAACTCTGGTCCAGGGGGGTAGTGACTGAAAGTCTTTCTCTCCTATTTGGTAATATCTGTGAAAAGCATTAGTGGCTTCTTCCAAGTTCCTAACACACAGTGTGTTCTCTTGGCTGACACCCTCCACTGATAGTCTCTATGTGTAGAGGTCAAAAACTGAATGGTGTTCAGAGACTGAATCTTGCCTTCCCTCTAGTAATGACTTTTCAGGTCAGGAAAGAAGCACAATGCTAGGGCAGTGTGAAGAATCTTGCTGCTCAGACTTTATCTGTTATATGGATAAAAAGAGGAGTTTGGGCCTTAGCTGGTCGGTTTGGCACCAAACATGGTAAGACTACACAAGTCTTGCTGTTTCTGTTGTATTAATTTAAGCAGAAGATGAAAAAGACTTGAAAAACAAATAGTGACGCTGCATAATTTCTTAACCTTCTAGGTTAAGGATATCTATAGTTTTACCATCTCATTGCATCCAAGAGTGCTGAGGGTATTGGTTGATGTGACTGCAGAGCTGCTGGTCATTATCTTTGAAAACTTGTGGCAGTTGGAAGTCCCAGATGATTGGAAAAGGGCAAATATAGTGCCTGTCTTTAAGAAAGGGAAGGAAGAGGATCCAGGGAGCTACAGACTGGTCAGCTTCACCTCAGTCCCCAGAAAAATCATGGAGTAGGTCCTTAAAGAATCCATTTCTAAGCACCTGGAAGAGAAGAAGGTGATTAGGAACAGTCAGCATGGATTCACCAAGGGCAAGTCATGCCTGACCAACCTGATTGTCTTCTATGATGAGATGACTGGCTCTGTGGATGTGAGGAGACTACTGGATGTAGTATACCTTGACTTTTTAGCAAGGCTTCTGATACTGTCTCCCACAGCATTCTTGCAAGCAAGCTGAGAAAATATGGGTCGGATGAATGGACTGCAAAGTGGATAGAAAGCTGGCTGGATTGTCAGGCTAAATGGGTAGTAATCAATGGCTCGTTGTGTAGTTGGCAGACAGAATCAAGTGGAGTGCCCCAGGGGTTGGTCCTGGAGCCAGTTTTGTTCAATATCTTCATCAATGACCTGGAAGATGGCATAAAGTGCACTCTCGGCAAGTTTACAGATTACATCAAGCTGGGAGGAGTAGTAGATATGCTGGAGGGTAGGGGTAAGATTCAAAGTGACCTAGACAAATTGGAGGATTGGGCCAAAAGAAATTCATGAGTTTCAACAAGGACAAGTGCAAAGTCCTGCACTTAGGATGGAAGAATCCCATGCACCGCTACAGCCTGGGGACAGACTGGCTAAGCAGCAGCTCTGCTGGAAAGGACCTAGGAGTTACTGAAGGAATGAATTAACTGCAGAATACATACAAAACATAACAGGCTGTTTAGTCATCAAAAAAAGCTACTGCATTTGCAAAATTGCCTCAGCCTTTGTGGAAAATATTGCAGAGTAAATACAGATTTTAGGTTGGTAAGTTAGACTTAACCTTGCGATAAGAGAACTTTAGATCTTGTGCTATATGTATCACTTTTATTTTGGGTTTGTTTTTCAGGGTGGCACCAGCGGATGTATTTAAGATGATTCAGCAATGGATCTTGTCTGTGACTAATGAAACTGAGAAGAACAATGTGCATCTTACTCAGGAAGTATGTATATGCCTGAAGTGGTTAGGGTTGAGAGCACTTGCTCACTCTTGTTTTATTTCCTTATGTTGAGATGGCGTCCTAAGGAATCCCCTGTCTGCTTTGATCCTCCTCACTCCCTTCAAAGCTCAGGACTATAGCTTCCATCTCTCTGACAAGGGAAGGCTAAGTGGCCTTCTTTCAGAAACTTTGAGAGGTGCTCCTTATTTAGTTGGAAGGATTTTTATAGCGTCATGAACCAGAGCTGTAGGCAATATCACTAGACCTGGGGAATTTTGCCAGACTTTACTTATTTTTATCTATGTGTTTTACAAAAAGCTTTTGAAGATCTGTGGGATCATCAGACTATTTCGGAATACATTTGGTGATATTACTGTAATGAGCATTTTAGTAAATTAATATCTATTTCATGTAGCTTTAGAGAGAAAAATGGCACGAAACCAATTCTTTATATGAGATCCCCTATGCTCTCAAGAACTCAAGATCTTCCCACCCCATTCCTCTTTGCCTAGAAGTTTTCTGCTGCCTTAAACTGATTCTCACCGTCTCTCTCCATACTCCCAAGTGGAAGACCACAGATAAATCATCTACTTAGTAAAGTTATTTGCATATTTTAAATTTACAGCATTTCTTTTGTAGGGTGTTCTTTCAAATAAATCCAGCTGTGCTAGGAAAGGCAGACAGCTCGTGTTTCTACTTAAAATGGCAAGCAGGGTTAATAATTGAAATGTCAATGTTGCTGACTTTCAGAGGGGCTGCTGAGGGCCTCATTCCAGGATCTTAGCACCTGGCCCTGGATGTCTGAGGAAGACTGTTTTTAACTTGTATTTCTCTTTGTTGTTCTATTTGTTCAGGCTGATGAAAAGTAGAAACAGAATTAGTAGATGTGCAGAGAAAGTATAAGCCCTACTTTATGAGCTATTACGGTAGTAATGCATGGTGGAGCATGCATTTGTCAGCAGTTGGAGGGCCAAGGCATACATTTAAACTATTCAAGAAGTGGGCCAGCAGCCTCCCACTTCTCTTGCTGCAATGGCCTATTGCTGTAGTACAGGGGCCAGCAATGTTTTACAAGCCATGGGCTGGAACAACCTGGCTTCTGTCCAACATGAGCCAGGTGGCAGGGGAGCTTTACTGAAGCTCATACTGGAGCCAGTCACCAGGAAGCTGTCTCCCTGCCACTGCCCCTTTTTCCCCCCCCCCATCCCCAGCTCCCTGGCTGCAGCATTGGTGCAAGTTCAAGCCAATGGAGAGCTGTGGCAGAACCAGGTATATGCAGACTGCCTCTTTGCTGCTGCTTCTCCCCACTCTGGTCCCAGCCTCTGGCTGCAATGCAGGCACAGCTGGAAGCTGCACAGCCCCAATACAACTCCCTCACTGACTTTCAGCTGGCTCCTGGCTGTCTGGCCCTGGCATGGGCCCAGACAAATCTCTCCAGCTCCACAGGCCAGGTTCAGTGGCTCTGTGGGATAGATTGGGCCCATGGGCCGCATGTTGCCAATCCTTGTTCTAGCAGATCCTATTTGAATTAATTTTGCAATACATCATATCCCTGTAATTTTGCAATACATCCTATCCCTGTGAAAAAATTCTTAATGAAGATAAAGTTAAAGGGTGTGAACCTTGACTCCCATCTCACTGGAATGCATTTTAAAAGAGGTTCCGGATTACAGGCCCCTTTGCTAGTAATTGCTTGTCATTTGGCTTCTCAAAAACAGTTTTGCTATGATCAGCTCATACAGCTGTCTGGGGCTGTTCAGTTACTGGTTCATCCTAGAATCCTATTGGGCAGATGCTGTTTCAGTGTCATACAGGATTCTGGGACATACCTGCTTCTTGGAAATGTAAGACTGTGGTGTGGCTGACAGAAGCAGCTCAGTGATCTCAGAGGAAGGAACTAGGTAAAGGGAAGAACCAGGGTAGGAAAAGATGGTAACATGGAAAGAAGAGAGGAAAAATAGAAGTTTAACTAAATATTTCTGCCTCAGAGGGACAATTTACCAGTGAAGTGTGTCAGTCTTCACCCACACACATTGACAGTGCCACTGAGGTTGGAATTGTGGGCAGGACAACTGCTCGCCATTCCAGCACCATTCCT